TGTGGGCTTGGTTTGGCAAAAGGGTCGGCTGTGGCGATTGTATTGATTTCGGTGGGTTTGGGGATAGTGCTACTACCAGCATTGGTACTCCCTGCAATTGCCTTCCTTGTCGATCCACTTGTTCTGGGAATGATCCCGCTGTTGAACGCATTCTCGACCTGAACCCCCACCCCCTGTTCATGCAAACTTTTGAAAGTGAATAGTGGAGCAACTATTAACTTTTGCAACATATCACGCTTGAGGTTTCGTACCATCATCTGCACTTGATCCTTCTCAGAAGAAGGGCGATCTGTCATCTGTGCTGCCTTTGCTCTCCACCTCGCAACAAATTCCACAAAAGGCTCTGTTGGGTTCTGGCGGGTTGTTTCAAGCTCTTGCATGGTCATTTCAACTTGGGTATTGTAGGAATACTGATCAACAAAGGCCTCAACCAATTCTTCCCAGTCTTGCTTCATTTTATCTTCCAACTTAGCATACTAAGTGGTTGCTACACCCGACAGGGTTCTTCCATACAGAGAGAGTTTCTGTGGCTTAGTTAGTCCCATCGGTTTTAAGACATCCAAAAAAAGTCGGATATGTACCATTGGATCTCCAGACCCGTCGAAACGGTCAATATATGGCATTTTGAATCTGTCTGGGAGCCGTACGGCAGCCTCGGTGTGCCCATCCTCAATGTCGGGAATGGAGTTAAGGCCCTGTGCCTTTTTGAATTGCTTCTCAAGGTTCGCAATCTTCACTGCAGTCAGATTGAGCTCATTAACATCAAAGGGATAAAGTCTCTCATTAGGCTGCACCAGGGGTCTGAGCACCTGAGCTTGAGTCAACCTTTCTCGAGGATTCGGACACTGCAAATCTTCAACTGGCGGAAGTGGGTCAAAGTTTGGCTGGGGTCCCAAAGCTGGATGTGAGGCAGATGCCCCAGATGGACGCTGCATTTCAATACTGGTCTCAGCTTGCATGGTCGTTCCCTGATTTAACGCTGCTATCACGGCCACAAATTCTTCCGAACCCTGGGCCATCATGGTCTGCTGAGTCGGAACAAAGGTGATGTGACTGGCGACTGACGGATCAGATGAACCGGTGAGCCCTGACTGGCCTTTCTTTGCCTTCCTCAGCGAAAGAACACTGGTTGCCCTTGAATTGAATTTCTGACCTAACAAAGTCTATCAACACTAGTGCAATGTACCCCGGGGATATCGGAGCCTTCTGAAGCTATAGTTCCAGGACTACCCTAGCAATAGAGAAAACAGACAGCATCTCAGCACAATTTCACTAGAACGGATTTGAGCATACTAGGATGAATGTACTCAATACTGATCACTGTTTCCCAAATATCTGCCTATAAACTGATACCCTCAGGTAAAACTGATTCCCCAAATACTCGATCATGCCAGCCTGTACCAACTTGCATGATGTCCTGATACCTCAAACTTGCAAACTGGTATATATGCGTCCTATGAGATAACACGTCTAAAGCAATACAAGGTAGAGAGAGCAAAACCACCCCATGTTGGCGAGGCGTTTCCCTGTCATTTTGTCAGGCAGCTATGTTTCAACTCGCACGCACCGTGGTTTCAAACAACTTAGCCAGCTCGGGTAAGCACTGCCTAGTTTGAGATTGGTCACTCATGGATTCACGAATAT